AGGAAAGAAACCACCCTGATGATGTTTTTTGAAGTTATCTCCCACCTGACAGTTGGGTGACTTGTTATTGGACTATGGACTGGGGTGCCAAGGGGAGGGGATTGAACTATACATGATATTCATTGCTTTCGCGCCCATTTATCCAGACTCTGCTTTGCTTTGCTATTTATCGTTTGTAATTAGTAAAAGTACACTTAATTTCAAAAAATGGAGTTGAGTGGTTTCTTTCCTGATTATTAAATGAAGCAGCACCTGACAAATTCCTTTTGAAAATAGATTAGTTATGGATGATTCTAAGAAACCATGGCTGTCATTTATTGGAATGTCTAGGATGTTTAGATCTGTGAATATAGAGGTAGACTGTTCATTCAGTGACCATTTGAATTTACAACAACACTAAGAAAAGAGATTTACCACATTGTTGACTGAACTTGCAGCCATCGCTGGGTCCCCAAAGTCACATAATTGTGGTTTGGCAACTGGTGCATATTTATGCTGTCCACAGGATCACACACTCATTATCTGTGACCTTCTTAACAAGCTTCCAACAAGCAATGTCAGTGGAGACGTGGGTGGCAAGTCAGGGTCACAGAGTCTGGCACAGTCACCCAATGTTACACTTTACGACTGTGTCACTTAGTGACAGTAGGCAATCCCAATTGTGGTTAGTGAGGATCACAATTGGGATTTAACGTGTGCACTTTTTTCTTTTACAATCCCCGCCCCCCTTGTTATTCAATTAAACTAATTACTTCTATTTTTCAGGTTTTGGATGAAACAGAACGTGGCTCAGGCGGTTTTGGATCAACTGGGAAGAAATAGAGAAAACTCTTTTATACAGTATGTTTTTGTACACCTTTTTAAAATGTAAATAAACTTTGATAGAAAATTGTGGGATTTTTTTTTTCCTTATAAGGAAGAGACGAATTTAAAAACACTACTGCAAGGAAAAGAATATAGATCACTTCAGGCTGTGTTTACTTAGTGCTGTTGTAGGGAGAGGAATCTCCCCTTGGGGGGGGAAAAGGGCAGCATATAAATATAATAAAATCAAAATCATCAAATCTGCCAAAGATAACTAACTTTCAGAGACTACTTAAAACCTTACCACCACCACCCTAAGCCCTTGTTCACAGCCATAATTTTCCAATCAAAATTTAACTGGAATTGTTTTAAAAGCAAGCTACAATTAAAAGGGACACCGGGAACAGTTAATAGATAGTCCTCACTTAATATCCACATTCCATGACTGAGGTTAAAACTACAGAACAAGGAGGGCTTACAACCGGTCTTTGATTGTTGGTGTCACACTGTCCCTACACTTTCATGGTCTCAATTTGGGCACTTGGCAACACAATGACGTTTCATTGTCCCACAGCCAAATGTGAAAATATGTCTGGTTAACTGAGTTGTATGGAGTCCACACAGCATTCAAGTACAGTACTAGAGATCCTATTTCAAGTTGCAATCCTGGTCTGGCAAGACCAGAGTCAAACTAGAAAATTGCTCCTGCATTAATGTAACACAACTTAAGCAGGTTTTATCTAATTCTTCTTGTTATAAACAAAATTTAAACTGGCACTGGAAGCCTCTTTTTTCAGCCACTAAAATTCTTACGTGTTTCTTCTCTCTGCAAATATTTATACAAATGCTTAAGCTTATTAAAAATCACAAGAGCAAGAAGCTCACTACTTTAAAGCCAAAAAGTTGATCAGGCAAGCATGTGGCATGCCCACATTCAATACTGCATGACCCTTTTTGGTTCCTGTCAAATATATTGAACCAAAAATAAAATTGTTAATAATTGAGGGACGAAGGATTACAATCATTTCCACTTTAGCAAATAAGCCACTAGATGGCACTTGAAAATAGCCTTTTCTTATTTCCCCCCTCCAAAAAATGCCTAGGTCTGTAACTAATCAATAGCCCTTCCCATGAGATGATGTTGGTGGAAAGCAACAGAGCAATGCTTGAGAGAAAGCTGGCAAAAAGATGTCATGGCATGGAGAGAAACCGAATCTACAAGTGAAAAGATTTTGGAAGACTGGCCTGTTTGCACAATTGTTCCTGGCTTACAAATACCAAAAGGGGAAGAAAGAAAAAACTTTTCTCCAGGCGTGGTTTTTCAACAAGAATGGAAAAATAGAGCAAAGAGAAACATTCCTCCTGGTTTTTTTTCCCCTTTCTCAGTCCATCAACTTTCATCTCTTTCGGTTCAAACTTGATTCTTGCAAGTATACTTGGTGCTTCACATTTTAGTGCGTGGCACCCTCAAAAGAGCAGGGTTTTTGTGGTCCCTTAACACTATTCCTCTATTTCTATGTTGGCTGGCACCCTAGGAATCATTCAGAAAGATAGTATCTGCCATTGTGATTCACCTTCAAGGTTATTAAATAAGCTTCGGTATAAACTGACCTGTTAGCCCTATCAAATCCTTGCAAGAATAACTTTTTTCAGGGGAGTTTAAAACTTTGGGGGTGGGGGGAAAGCTTTGGAATTTTCAACTTGGATACAGCTACTGCCACATACCTCCCAGCGGCCAGTAAGATCCCACAGATTGGGCCTCCTTCAGATGCCGTCAGCCAGACAGTGTCGGCTGGCGGGCCCNTACTCAAAATTTCTGCTACCGGTTCGCCAGAACTGGTCAATGTGCTAAATACCAGCTCTGAAGTAGTCCTCATTTAACAATCCTAACTGGGACCGGAATTTCCACCACTAAGCTATGTGATCCTTAGGTCAGGACCACTTAGCAACAATTTCTGTGGTCCTTGTTCCTCATTAGAACTCACAGTCTCCTGGTTTCTAGGCCAGCACTTGAACAATTACCCCAACTGGGATTCACTCTTCAGGTGGTAGATGGGGAGAACATCCAATATAAGAGACACATAATCCAGTACTGAATTCTGCAACAATTTCTGTCATCCCACATCAAAGCGGTTGCAGAAAACATTAACTCTGAATCTTTTCTTTGCACTGCTCAAGCTCCAGTAGTGAATGTTAATTTGGGATATAAATACGTATATTAGCTGAATAGGATACTTAAGCTTCATTGTATATTCTCTCAACATGAAGGATAGCATTGTCTGGGATAGTTGTTAGAATAGGATCAGAGTAGGAATCAGTAGGATCATTGATCTGAGTGCAAGACTAATTGTACATTTTAAAAATCCTTCCAACTCTTAATTTCTTTAAATAAATTTATGTTCATAATTATTATATTCTGTAGCTATGAATATTTCATTAGAGGTAAGATTAATATGGATTCATATTGATTTAATCAGAGAAAGTAATTATCCAACAAAGCTGTTTCTTGCTTCCAATTTGCAAGTTACGTACTTCAATTTGCAAAAATCATAGCAATCAACAGATTTATCCAAAGACAGGCAGAATTGTACAGGAACTTATTTCGAAGTTATTCATAAAGAAGGATGTCTGGAATGTATTTTGACTCAGGATGATAGAACAAATAATTTCTAACGTAATCAACTTTTGATTTTAAACAGAGTTACCGCCAGGTCCGTTTGAATGAACTCTTACAGGAGCACTCTCGAGCTGCTAATCTAATTATTGTGTAAGTTATATATTTTTAATTTGTTGTCCCTACTGAGACTTTGGAGCACGATTGTAAATTGAAATACAGTTATCTACAGTCCAAATTAGTTTTCTGTAGCTATTTGTTTCCATCTGGTAATCCTATCCAAGGAGACTATTTATATATGAACAATGAGTATTACTAATACTTCCTCCTATTCAACTCAACAGGAGCCTACCAGTGGCAAGAAAAGGATTTATATCGGATTACCTCTACATGGCTTGGTTGGAAATCCTTTCCAAGAACCTACCTCCAGTTATGCTCATTCGAGGCAACCACAAAAATGTACTAACGTTTTACTCATAACTTCCCCCCTGAAGTCCATTACATGCATTCTGGACATAGCAATGGACTTAATATATCCAATAAGACTCCAAACAGGATATTTTGCTATCAGCATTTCCAAGTAAAAAACAAATCATATCTCCAAAAAGGAGAGAAGAAATGAAAAACCAGGATTGACAGCGCAAGGTAAAATGGAAGAGAGTAACTTGGAAAGAAAAAAAAAAATCTGCATTCCACATTTCAAATCCCTCTTTAAAAATCTATATTTCATCACAAAGAAAGTCTCCTTGATGTCAGAATATACACTAACTTCCATTCCTATTATGAACACATTAGGTTTAATTACTGCAGTCCTGTGGTCCAGAATACCGTAAAACTTAGTTATGCAAAAACGTCCATTCTCCCCCAAAGAATCCACAATGTCTGATTTCCTGTTCATTGCTATACCTGCTTACATAACTTCAAAGTTTTTGTTCCATAAATACATCTGGTTGTAGTTTTTTTTCTATTCATGATAGTGAAACTGGGGAGCAAAATGTCATGATTTATAAGGCATAACATATAATTTCAAATTATCACTTTAAGATAAGCTGGAATCATATTCAATCAACATTTAAGACAACTTTGAAAGCAAATATATGTGTACTAACCTAATTTCTTTTTAAAAAAATCAGTGATATTGATTTCTTTAGAACTATAAATAAAAGTAAACTAGCACAGTGACTTGGCATAACTTAGAAATTATTTTTAATAATTTTTAATCTTTTTCTGACTGGTAAGAATATTTGAACTTGTATATTAATTTAATGTTAACAATAAAAATGAATCGCAGGTTTATCTCCACTGCATACTTTGATTTATTGATTTCTTTTGTTTCTATGTGGAAAAAAATCAGAGGCATCTTTATTAAATTTGTTGCAACACAAGCTGCACCAATCATTAGAAAAACTAACACATTCATCACAAATTAGTGTGCGCTAAAATTCCTATTATCCAAAGCATCATAAACTGACAACAAAAATATGTGGTTTTGTCATAATTCAAGTGATAAATATTACCAGCCATTCATAACATTTGGCACACAATGATCTTAGTATAGTTAATTTCATCTAAATAATCAGAGATTTTTTGAATTTTGATTAGACATATTTTATTAGATAAGATTTGTGTTACTGATACAGCATCACCAAACAATATTAGTTTTTTTTAGCATTCTTGGGAGCAGAAACTATTGGCTTTGTAATAAGAGACAGGAATGGATATAAATCCATTTATTCTTCTTGGGAAAAAAGCTCAGCATAATATACAGGATTGTTGGCGTAAGTATACAAAATCAAAATTATCAAAGGATATTTAACTAGTTTTGGGGGAAGTAGCGAGAGAAAGTATTGACAAAAGACCCCAGAATTCAAAATGAGACAGCACATGGGAAACAAATATTATTTTAATCAACCTTTCTTGACCCAGTAGAACTGGCGTTCCAAGAATTATCGGGCAAGTCAGAATTCAACATTTTGAAATTGCCTTTTGCAAGATACAAAGATAGGAATTCACAGTTTGCTGGCATGAATATAGAGTTTATTTCTGTTTATTTCTAGCGATGGTTTTTTTTAAAAAAAGGTAGACAAATTCATACAGGGTAGCTCAGCCAATACTGTAATACTAAGAATACCCTGCATGTTGCCAATAGTGGACTTTTCAGGGGATTTACAGAACCTCAAGAAGCAGAGCCAGCTCAAGACCAACTTAGGCTGACCTGCTTTCAGGGGTTCTCTCCTTCAACTGGACTTACTCCAGGTGAATTACAAGGATGCACCCTTGCAATTTTGCCAGATTGATATGGGAGCCCACTGCATTTCCCCCCAAATGCCTTTGGGTTTGTTAGACTCCCCACTCTCTCCTACATCCATAGCCTGTCCAGGACAGCCATAACCATGGCATGCCCATATCAGCTTCTAAAACCAGCCAATGCTGGTGAAGAGACTCAAGATAAAAGAAGCCTCCAACTGAGATGTTTGAAGGTTTAAACATTGGAAATTCAAATGATGCCTTGGTCATGGGTGCCTTCTATTGTTTAGGGAGGCTGACTTAAAAAATAAATAAATCGATTTCTCCAAACTTGTAATGGCCTCCTACTCTTTGTCTGAACAAAACAACCTCTGAACAGAAAAAGGAGGAGATTGATCTCCCAGAAATCTATTAAACGTGATTTTCCCAGCAGGCTTGGGGATCCCATAGAAATAGGGATCTACCCAGAGTCATCTTGTAGGGGAGATAGGCAGCATAAAAGTTTAATAAATAACATTTAAAAGGGAGCCCTACAAGGTTACACAGGGTGTAGGATGGTGGTCCATTGATTGTATTTATATGTTATATTTACATCTGTTTCAATGGCAGCCATTAAATGAATAGAATAAAATAGAATAGATTAGAATAGAATAGAATACTTTATTGGCCAGGTGTGATTGGACACACAAAGAATTTGTCTTTGGTGCATATGCTCTTGGTGTACGTAAAAGATACATTGTCACTAATCATAGGGTACAACACTTAATGATAATCATAGGGTACAACTAAGCAATCAAATCATACTAGCAAACCATCAATATAAATCGTAAGGATACAAGCAACAAAGTTACAGTCTACCTGTATAAATTTGACTGATAAATGACCAAACTCATACATAAATATAAGGGTTTCCCTGCCTAAGCAAGGGGGGAGGGGGGGGTTGGACTAGAAGAGCCCCAAGGTCCCTCCCAACTCTGATCTATAACTATAACTAACATACTATCCTATCCTATCCCCAAAGTCTCTGGGCAGATCAGGGTGGTTCGTTCCTAGCCCTCCATTCATGGAACTATGCCTAAGAGCCAAGGTGGCGCAGTGG